ACACCCAACAATGGTTACTATATAAAATAAAGCAAAATAATTTAACTTAAAAGTTATTCGTTTATAAGTACTTCAAAATATTCAAAAGGTTTTAAAATTTATTAATATCTGTGATTCACTATATCAGTTGGTAAGTTTTTTGATAAATGTCCAGCTCTAATGTAAATTATTAAATAAATATATTAGATTCCCAAATATTACACCCAACAATGGTTACTATATAAAATAAAGCAAAATAATTTAACTTAAAAGTTATTCGTTTATAAGTACTTCAAAATATTCAAAAGGTTTTAAAATTTATTAATATCTGTGATTCACTATATCAGTTGGTAAGTTTTTTGATAAATGTCCAGCTCTAATGTAAATTATTAAATAAATATATTAGATTCCCAAATATTACACCCAACAATGGTTACTATATAAAATAAAGCAAAATAATTTAACTTAAAAGTTATTCGTTTATAAGTACTTCAAAATATTCAAAAGGTTTTAAAATTTATTAATATCTGTGATTCACTATATCAGTTGGTAAGTTTTTTGATAAATGTCCAGCTCTAATGTAAATTATTAAATAAATATATTAGATTCCCAAATATTACACCCAACAATGGTTACTATATAAAATAAAGCAAAATAATTTAACTTAAAAGTTATTCGTTTATAAGTACTTCAAAATATTCAAAAGGTTTTAAAATTTATTAATATCTGTGACTTCACCATATCAATTGGTAAGTTTTTTTATAAATGTCCAGATCTAATGTAAATTATTTAATAAATATATTAGATTCCCAAATATTGTTTCACAGAACGCGAATCCTACCTGAGAGATGGCATCCACTGATATAAATCGCGATGGAAATATGTAACATTGCTGACCTCTATCAAATCCAAATCGAAATTGAGAGGATAAAAGCAAGTGCCAGACCTGTCGGTCTAGTTGCATAATAATTATATTAATTATAAAAATAATAATAAAAGCATTTATTTAAACATGCACAATGGTGAATCAAAAGGCATATCCACATGATACAATTTGTTGTATACGATTCTCATGACCCTGGCGAATGTGATTGAATAAACACGTGTGAACATGTGCAGTGAGATTTAAACTAGTTTCACCATTACAGCGAATGAGCAAAAATGTGGCATCAGCACTCGTTTAAATACGTCAGAATGACAATCGTATGCGACAAATTGACAATCTAATTTCAGGTAGCAGATTATTCCAAAGTTGCTGCAGCGTGGGCCGTCAAGGAGTGGAAGTAAAAACCGCTTGCGTGTGATGCAAGGTTGACAGTTGTATTGCTTTACATGGGAATAATGGTTGTATAACCTGCATGTTATGTATAGATTGTATTGCCATGTGTTACGTCAAACTACGTCACAAATAATCCGTTCAGGTTGTACAATTCATGTAAAAGAGAGTGAGAGAAAACTACAACGTGGTTTTAGTATTTTTAGTTTTTATTAGCGCAAAAAATATGAACACTAGTCAAAAACATGAACATGAGCCAGTAAACCATTAACACCGGACAAAAATGTATTTTTTAAACATATGCACGACTTATTTATATCACCAAGCTTTGTCGACGATTGTAGTGCCGTTTCGCAGTGCTCAAAGGCATATAGCCTAACCTCGTCCTTTTATAGGTGAACGAAAATCTTCTCCTAAAACAAATTTCTCAACAGTTTGTTCATAACGCCGAAAATATCTAGACCATTAGAAATCGTACTTTCGCAAGTTTAGCAAATTGTCATTGAGAAATATTTAACCTAAAGGTCCAAGGTTAGCGCTAATATATCTCTGAAAAACTGGCCACAGCAAGATAAACGATTAATTAACAAGAACCCAATCTTCTCGTCTAATATGCCTCTCAAAACGAGTACTGTAAACACATAAAGTATTTGACTTCACACGAGTAACCTTACTAACACCATAACCAAGATAAGTCTTTCTAATATCAACCGATGCAGTTTTTTGGCTATATAAACCTTGCTCAATATACGTTACTATAATAATGTCAATATTTGCAAATACATGGAATTACATCTTTCAAACATCCTGACTTTTTTGAACACTGAGAAAAACAGTATTAATATGCCCAAATAACTTGAGTACTTAGCTATCCTGAAGATAATTAAAATCAAGATTTAGTACATTGTTAACAACATGAAGATGGTCTGGTGAAAGCATCTTAGACAGAACGGGAGCGACGACGACACGGCCATCAAATACAGGATTCTTTAGCATAATATGCTCTTTAACAGGATGATAATACGTGGCTTTAAAGTCTGGACTAAATAACAATTGTCCGCTTTGGTCACGTCCAGGTTATTCTTCTGTCCATATGCCTAACAACCAGGTTATTAGGTGGCATTCAATATCCTTGCGTGAACTCTTGATAACAGCCATAGCATTTTGTGACAGAATTTGGTAAAAGAACCAATTCGTACCGGTATGGGAACATGCTGGAATTCCAGGAAGCAAAACGATTGCTTGCATTGCTTTGCTGCTGTATATCAACACCACTTAATTGGCGACATTGTGGTTGCGGAATGCCAATGCAAGGCTGGCTTTCAATCTGACCGCAGGTGGCAGATGAGGTAGAAGGCTGTTGGAATGTAACACTATCTCTATTACTGTACTGTACGGCCGAAGTAAGGGTTGGCTCACGCGGAGTCATCAGTGGAGCAAGAAAGGATTGTGCACCAGTGACGACGTATTGGTTTGTTGACTGGAATACGGATGCCATCGACAAGAATGGAGGATAACGAGTCAAGCCGGCTGGCGTACTCATGGATGATGACTGTTGGATATTGGAATGGTTTACCGATCCAATAACAAAGGAACCATCACTTGTAGTTGGTTTTCTCTGAATTAGATCTTCTGCAATCGACTCTTGAAAGGATTTGGATTTTCTGCGAGAAAGTTTTTGAGCCTCGTTCTGTTTGTGTCCTTTTAATGAAGAGCTAAGATCAGATTGAACAGCTGCTGTAATGTCGACGGCTCCTTTTCCACCTTTCATTTTCCAAGTTTTTTTCTTAGTTCACAAAGGTAGTTGCAGAGAACTCCGATTTCATCAGCGACGGCAATGGCGTCACAGCACATTCCCAATGCTTTATAGACTTTACACGTAAACTGAAAAAGATCTCTGTTCTTCGGAATGGGCTTAACAATCAACGGTACAGATCCATAACGACTTTTAACAGTGCGCAAACAATCATCATCTGAAGACGCTTTAGTGATGGAATTGGGTTCGTTTATTAGTTCTTCGGCTTTATGAAAAGCATCTTCCAAGAGATGATGAGGCAAAACATCTTTTAGAACTGTAGCTTCTTCAAGCAATACTGAGAGCTTGCGTCATGGTTTGTCGAGAACGATTTTGCTTTTAACCACCGGCTTGAACGGATCAGAGTGATTTGGTGGTGGAGAATTATCCTATTTCTAAAGTGCTTTATTTAATAAAACAAATGATGAATTAAGAGGAGTCAAAATTAGTGAGCCAACAGTTAGGTACAATGCATACATTTGTTATTCACCTCAGTAAATATCTTCCCTAAAAATTATAGAAATTTTCTTTGAAAAAAGAAGTGCTACAAACAACTTTGTAGGAAACTGAGAATGAAAATGGAATCAAATTTCTCACTGCTACTATAGCAAAACTTCTTGTCTGCATCCATTTTGTATAGGTTATTTCAAGGTCAAAAGGAGGTATTTACAATATTTCATGAGGGCTTGATATTGAATGTATATATTAAATTACTTTGGTCATTACCACATAACCTGTGAAAACTATTACATATTACTGCATTTATTGTCTGTTGCTTGCTATATATGTAGGATTCAAATACCTTAACCCACTGACTGGTAATGTGACCTACCAGTCTTTTCTGGAATGACCGAATAAGGCAAAGGGATGTGTCACAAAGAGGGGGTATTGATCTGAGTTAATATAAATACAAGTGTTAAAAGATCAATTACAAGCTGGTCAACAGAGCGTCCAGTTGGTGTAAATCGTAAACTCAAATTAAATATTTAACTTACATATCAAAAAGACACACTGTATGTATCCATTTATTTTGTTGTCAAATTAAGATCACATTTGATTGGACCATTGTCAATAGAGTTCTTGCTACTAACAATTTAAACTTCTAAATGTCAATAGACATATTTATCAAGACTCACAATGGCATAATTAATTGGAAGGAGAACATGTCTTTGAATCTTTATGATGTTGTCCATTGCCTTTCCTTGTTCATGTTGTTGAAGTTTCCAGTGTCAAGCAAATCATAACACAAAGTAAGATTTGTCTCAAAAAGCAAGAAGTGTTTGTTTTGCTGATCCAACAATGTCAAATTGCATAAAAGTTGTTCTTTGGGAAGATCATTGAACACTTTGGACATTGCGATAGATTTGTTTCCCCTCAGCTAGGGTCGGAGAGATTATCCCAAGTGGATCATATATGCATCCTAAATGACTAAGGATGCTTCGCTTGGTCACTGGTTCATCTTCTGGGTAATCAGGAACTGTTATCTCGAGGGTTTCCTCCCGTTTGTCCCACATATGTCCCAAGAATTTAGTAGGGTTTGGCATGTCATTGCTTTCTAAGGACTCGACATTACTTTCCCATTTGTGGACGGGAAATTTACCACTTTCCAGGATCCTGCTGCTTTCGTCTTTGAATTTCACCAAGCTACTCAGATCCTCGCCACCGTACATTAAATTGTCCACATAGGTATTTTTCTTCAACGCATCGACAGTATCTTGATATTCAGGGGGTTGGTTTCCAAGGTTTTGTTGCAATGTTGCACCTAATACAAAGGGGCTAGCCTCCGCTCCGAACGGCACACGTGTGAAACATAGGTGTTTCTCCATGCCATTTACGTTGTATAGGACGGTCTTTTCCCTGAAATCCATGGAAAACTGACTTCATACCTCCCGTCCTCCTTTCTCGTAATGTTCTCTGTAAACTCATTCAGAATTTCACTGTTGGTGTCTCCTCTGTCCTCGACTCCCAAGACGTCTAAACTACACAGTCTCTCACAGTCACTTGTCTCTCTTGTGAACATGCACTGATCATCGGTGTAGTCATCGCCTCCATGGATTACCCAACCGAAAATGGTTTCTTCAACGATCAGGTCTCCCTGCTCCCCCTTGCACACAGTTTCAGTTCGGATTCGACTAAACGTGTTGTCTCCAATAATGAGATGAATCTGGCATTTCCCATTCTCAGTATAGTAAAATGTTTTGTCCTTTGTGTGTTCATGCTTTAATGTTAGCTCGGGAATATGAGGTCTTCTGACTGTCGTAAAGTCTGGAAGTTTCGAACCAGTAACCTCGATTCTCTCTCATGCTCCCCCGTCAAGAGCATTAATTTCTACTTCATAAATCGGCATTGACTGATTTGTGATCCCATTCAGAGTAACAATTTCTCTCGGTTAATGGCGTTTTGGCTTCAAATTTAACATTTTTTGCTGCGTCCTGAGAAACAAAGTTCCTAGCAGAATCAGTGTCTAAATAAGCCCACACCTCCCCCCAAATCTTGACTGGAATAATGGCTGGTAAAGAATTCTTCTCAGGGGACCTGCTGTAACCACTGAGTACACCCCCGTCTCCAATTTGCGATTTTGGTTCTTGTCACATATACTGGTGTGATGCTTTGACCCACACTTGAAACAACCTCGGCTATGGCACTGGGACCCCCTATGACCAGTACGTCCACAATTGAAGCATAAGTTCTTGTCGACAAAGAACTTCCTTCTCTGATCTCGTGTAACTACTCTTTTGCACTCATCACTCCAGTGTTCCTCACTACAAAATATGCACTTTGGTTTCGGTTTCCCATTCCCCCCCCCCCCATACCAATTTCTTTCTCTCTTCCGGTTATCACTTGGGGGTTTGAAACCATCATCACATTTGTTTCTCTTCAACCATGCTTGTAAGTTATTAATCAGAGCTCCCATTCCTCCCAGCTGCTATCCACCCTTACTAAGTCGGGCTTTACATGTGGTAATTTGTTCAATGTGTTCATAACAAATCCTTGTAATTTTTCCCCTTCTCCTAGGGTTTGTAAAGCATCAAAGTTTCTGCTTAGTTTATCATAAAACTCTTGAATTTTCTCATGATTAGTTCCTCTAATAGTAGGTAAGTTGATGATTTCATCTAGGTGCGCACTGATCACTGGTCGGGTTTGCCCATATTGCTTTTTCAAATGGTCCCATGCTGTTTTATACCCCACAGAGCTTGGTTTTAGATTAGAAATTCTATCTCTTACCTTGGGTACCACCGACTCTAGCAGATAACCAAATTTTTCTTCCTCAGAAATCGGTCTGCTGTCAACTTGAGTCAGAAACATATTTTCAAACCGAACCCAATCGGCTGCCGTACCTTTGAATGGTGTAATTTTCAAACGTGGAAGTTTTGCCAAACTAGCCTTTGCCTGTGTTTCCATTTCAATCTTTTTCTCGGTCATTCGTAATTCTGCGTTAAATTTTTCTTCCCACATTTCTCTTTCGCGCTCTCGTATTTCTCGCCGACGATGTTCTTCGTTCTCCCGTTTTACTTCTTGTTTTTCCCGCTCGATTTCATCGTTTGTTTTCCTTTGTTTCTGGTTATAAGCATCAGATAGTTTCCCATTTTTTCCACTGGCGGCCTGTAAATTTCCTTATTTTCCTTTTTCCATTGTCGAACATTCCTTTCTGTTTCCCCGCGATCGATTTTTAACTCTTGAATACTCGAGACTAGAGTGTTTATTTTATCCAAAATTGCTGTTGCTCGGTTATTTATTATCTTGATCTCGTTAAAATCTCCTTCGTTGATCGTCTCGTCAGCATTTTCAACGTAATATTTTAGTTTTTCTATTTCCTTGTTGATTTCTAGTTGTAAACTTTCCTCGGTCTGCTCGTTGCTCATGTTCGAATATAAATGTTTTAATCTCGTGAATGGATCCTGGTCACGGCACCAAAGTGTGCTGGAGAAGTTAATGCACACTTACCACAAATAAATTTAAAGTAAAAGTTTAATAAAACATAAAATTTGCTCACAAATGATCGCTGTAAAATACTCGCTTCCTCGCTCACATTTCTCTCGTTTTCCTAGTAACCTAATTTCCTTAGTTGGTGGTGTGGCACAGGCTTGTCCATTTGGCTCAGCACTGCAGGTCTTATCCACATATCCTCATCTGGTGGATTAGGATTAACAGTTGACAATAACCAATCAACATACTGACACTGTGTCAGCCGCTCTCTGACCAGCTTCAATATCCTGGTCTAATTCAGTTGTGTCAGACTCAGAACAATCATTTTCATTTAAATTTGTATGCTAAGAAACCTTTCAAAGCCATCTGAGTAAGTTGACACAAACCTGGGTCATTCTTTAGTTTAGCAGTACCATGACAATGGATACTACCTCTACCTTGATATTCATATTGAAACCAGTGCCATTTTGCACCAAGTGTATCATAAAGCCAGTGTTTTACAAGGCTTTCGAATCTTTGGGTGAAAAACCAATCTACAATATGGGGATTGTTAATAACATTTTGCCGTCTTAGCTCACTGGTAGAATTACCAATCTCACAATCTGTAGGTGCTTTAAATAAAGCATGTAATTCAGGCCAATGCATATCTGCAGAGGAAAAAGTAAAAAATAATGTTGGTACGTGCTCCAACACTGGTAATAACAGCTTCGAGTTCTTCTCTTACTTTATTCCAGTAGGCATTAGTACCAGCAATATTATATTAGCAGTGTTACTGGCAGCCATTTCACACAGTTTATCAATGGTGAGATGTGCTTCACCTGGGTTTTGTTTAAGAAATATTCCACTATGCTGTAAGATTTGTTTTCTTTGGATCATGTTGAAAGCCCAATGAGAAAATCTTGGGTGGTTAGGAAAACGGTACACCCAATTACCATCAATAATTTCAGCAAATTTTAAAAGATGCTTCATTCGTTCATGAAGAAGGACATCTCTCAAAAGTCCTTGATTAGTAGGATCACCTTTCCCAACTGGAAAAAATGTTGGGAAAGCCATTGTGGCCAGATGTGATACCTGATACTCATTTAATGGTTCATTGTCAAGTGAGGGCCACAGCATTGGCTCACTTTCAGAAACCTGACTTTTAAGAGCTTCTATATCCTGTTGTTGTTGTACACCGACAGGTAAAAAAATATTCATTTCTGTTGAGTCATCATAAACAATATCCTCCGAGGGGTTATCAGTAAGAGGGCCTACATCAGGAGAACAATTGTCAACAGCGACTATATCATCATCAGTCTCAACAGTCATGAGATCTGGCGGTACATCATTCTCAGGTAATGAATTTAATGCAACATACTTCATTAATTGTTAACTCAGAATAATGTGGATTATTATTAATAAGCCAAATTAAAGCATAATTATGCATTATTATCTACCTTTAACCTTGACAATAATCACAGACAAGTCTTTAGGATATCTTGGCCAGGGGCGGATTTAGCCTCTTAATCTGACCGTAGCATTTTTGATGAAGTCAACATGCGTGATAACTCTAATCAATATATTTGTAGAAATTGTCCAAAGACAAAATTAAGGATATTACTATATAGATCTATAGTAAATATTGTATTTTAATTAGTTTTCTAATATTGTATACTATACTGCACGCATATCTATCCATGTTATATTTTGCATGGCCCTCCTGAAAACAGCTTACGAGAAGTAGGTTCCCTGAGTAAATACTGTAATAATACTATAAGTCTTATATGAATAATTATACATTCATAAAATTAATTAAGCTTGTGTGACCAATGGTGCCGTGAATCAGTTAATTAATCACTGATATTACTTTTTATGCACCAATCAATATTTTGCAGTACCATGTGTAAGGTGGGCAAATACAGAGTAACAAAGACATATTAACCCATTATGCTGCAGAGCTTCCCCATTGACGAGTAAAATCTGCTGACGTTAGACAAGTAAAAATATATAAGTAAGGTGCACTGAGATGTACTGCGACTCAATCAGCTAACTAGAGACATTGTCAGATTTTTTGGTTAACCCATTAAATTACACTGCAGAGCTTCCCCATTGACAAGTAAAATCGTCTGGTGTTAGACAAGTAAAAAAATAAGTAGGGCACACTGGGGCTCAGTGGGTTAACCAACATTTTGACATTTTCATTGATTAAATTAATATTATTTACCCAGGATCTAGTAAATTGAAAATGTTATAATCCCCTCACCTGTGTTAGTCGCCCTCCACAGGGTCAAGCAAAACAACAACAGTGCATTGCAACAATACCCTGTTCCATAGGCTCTTTACGAGGCAAAAGAAACGAGAGGTGAGAACAGAGAGCCTCTGGTCATATCGATTGCAAATCCTATTTCCACACTTGATCACATGCAAGATTCAAATTCTGAACCTAATCAAGTGTGGAAGTGGGATTTGCAATCGATATGACCAGAGGCTCTCCATTCTCGCCTCTCGTTTCTTTCGCCTCGTAAAAGTCAGTCTCTGGAACAAGGGTATTACAACAACAGTCCTGAAGCCATAAAATGCATTTCCTCAACAGCAGTAAAGTTATGATAACTTATTTACTGTTGTTGAGGAAATAATATGGTTATTATTAGGTGCATTTGGAGTATTTGGTTCGACTGTTTGGCACTTTCAAAGGACCACATACAATACACGGATTTGAAACACCTAACCATATATTTTATTATCCCACAATTCTAAACTCTGTTATTATACATGCATGTAAACTACAATATAATATATCAGAGTATAACTATTTCTATAAATTTATAATGTTTACACCACTCACTAGTCTTCATAGACATAGACTACAGCAGGTCTACAATAAACTTACATGAGCAGAGTCTAAGATATAAAATATATAGCAGACTAACTTACATATTCTTAAAATAAACACACATGGCATGGCAATGGCTATCAAATAGTATTAGAGGCCATTGGCATTGTCCTGTAATAGTATAACTATTTTTATAATACTGTAATACATTTCATGAGCACAAATATGGTAATATATTCAAGACGAATGAACTGTGTAAGCAATTTACATATCTACAGTAATATATTATTCATAAGACTGACCTGACAGGGAGGTGATTCAGGCCCTGTTTACACTATACCGGATTCGCTCGTCACGACATCTTCTTTTGCCGTTACGGAGCAATGGTTAGTAGCAAATGCTTATTAGTTTGACAGAATTGGCATGTTTATTTGGGTCTCTGAGATTAAAAATCTTCACAGCCATTCGATACGTACAAAGTTTGATCCACTCCAATAGCAATCCGGTATAGTGTAAACGGGGCCTCAAACAGCACTGTTGTTCACTTCGCGGGAACTGCAACTGAGAAGAATCGAACACCAAAACCTTTTGATATGACTTATTTCGCGATTCATCCACAACCACTTTCTCACACAGAGATTTAATGGAGGCTAGTTTAGTCGCCTTTTCGTTAAAAGAAATACGTTCGTTCATAATACACAGAAGCTCGACGGAAGAAGCCGAATACGTTCGTTCATAATACACAGAAGCCGCCATATTTTGTCCTTGCAACGAGCGGCGATTAACAACTATTGCAACGAGCGGCGATTGTCAAGTATTGTACAGTTTTCTCTAGATGTAGGACAGATATTCGATTCAGATTGATCTGAAAATTTGCTTTTTTCAAATTGTTTTCTTACAGCAGTGTCATTTGCTTGTTTATTTCTTCTATATTCCTTTTCAATCGTAGCTCTTTTTCAGTTTCTACTGCCTTTTTAAATTTATGACAGTTTCTATTATTTTCAAGTCTAATTAACTTTTCAGTTTTAGTTTCAACTGTTTTTTTCAATTTATGACAGTTTCTATTTTTTTCAAGTCTGATTTCCCTTGCAAGTTCAGTCTCCCCTGCTTTTTTTAATTCATGATATTTTCTATCAGTTTCGAGTCTGATTTCTCTTTCAGCTTTAGTTTCTACTGCAAGTGTTAATGATGTTACAAGTGTTAATGATGTTAAGTAAGAGGTCCAGCTAAGTCCACTGCCACGTCTTTCATCATGCTCTTTGCGCACAGCACCAAACTTTACAGGTGTATTTCATCAACACGGGGTAGAACAGTCCATTCTCAACTTTCCTATTTCCTGAAGTATCTCATTTGGTGACGCTTGGTGCATTGTGAAGGTACGGCCTTCATGATCAGGTAGATTTTGGTATAGATCATTTGTGTTATCAGGCTCTGTTCCCATGGTTCTTCCTGCATTGGTAATAAAATACTTATTTAGAGTTTCTGGGTTTTCTCTTAATGGTTGCAGACTTGGATAAAGAACACGGTGGATAGCTCTCCACAGTTCTTTTGGTCATTTTGGTGACACTGAAAAGTGGCACTGAAATCATCAATGTTCATATCTATATCTCTCTCCAGATGAAATGGTAGTTATGACAGAAGGCAACCAGGACATATCCAATAATGTATAGCAATATACTTGCTCACTATTATATCTGTGCATTTTCCTTGTTGTTGTCCAAAGCATACTTCAGACCGGCAGGTACAAAACGCAGGTTGCAGGTTGGAATTTTGCAGGTTGGGAATTTTGCAGGTTGGGGATTTTGCAGGTTGGAATTTTGCAGGTTGCCAGGAACTTTGCAGGTTGATAGTGCAAACTTAAAATTACACCACTTTTTTAGTATTCTAGTATAACTTAGTTGTGCATTTATTGCAGTCTGACTCCTTGTCGGCGCTTTTGATATCAGCTTACCCTGCTGCCATGTTCCTAGCCTCTGCTCTAAGGCTAGTGGCCATCACCCCCGTAATAACATTCAAAATGACGAGATTGGCTTGGACCTACAGGGAGATGAATGTTTTGATTGTTGCGAGGTGCCCACATGACGTGGCGGCGTTTATACTAGAATGTTGTTAAAAGTTAACTAACTCTCGAGTAATGATACGGTAATTGGGGGGCTTGAGTGGCCTCATAAGTGGGTGCAGAGGAGAGACACCGCATTCAGGCATTTTCTGAACTGCCACCACGTCATGTAGGCTCCTCGCAACAATCGAAACATCCGTCCCCCTGAAGGTCCAAACCAATCTGGTCATTTTGAATGTTTTCACAAGGGTGATGGCCACTCCTTAGAGCAAAAGCTAGGAACATTGTAGCAGGATAGGCTGATATCAAAAGCGCTGACAAGGAGTCAGACTGCAATAAGTACACAATTAAATTATACTAGAATACTTTATAGTGGTGTAATTTTAAGTTTGCATCATCAACCTGCAAAATTCCTGGCAACCTGCAAAATCCCCAACCTGCAAAATTCCCAACCTGCGAAATTCCAACCTGCAACCTGCGTTTTGTACCTGCCGTACTTAAGACACAACTTTCACACTATAAACTTTAGTGGTTCTACAACAACAGTCAAGAGGTGAGACGGGCATGAGAACAGCAGCCAAAGTCAGGGCTGCATAAAATATTTTATTTTCTGGGACCACAAAGCCAACAGAAATATTTTCTGCATGAAAACACTGGGAATCTTATGTTTTTATTTAAATTTGATCATCACTAAACAAGATTCAGTGCATTCTATGCAACCGTTTCATTAGATTTGAATTCAAAATAGATGTATTTCAACATGGCTATGGAATAAATATTCTTTATATTTTAATTTAAGAACAAACATTTACAGGGTAATTCCATGGTGACAGATGTTACATCCACAGAATATTTTGAAAGAAATTGCTCTCATATTTTTGTTCTGAATTATAAAGTAGGGCAATTTTTTAACATTTGTGCTGCATATAGCCTAAGTATCACACATAAAAATGTTTACCACCATACTTCACATATATCACCAGCAAATGACATTTAAACTAGTGTGACAGACGTTACACAAGTTGTACACACCATTTCATTACTAGTTTAACTGATCGATTTGTCTTCAAATTAATGGATACAGAACAATAATTAATTTCAATAGAAATCAAATTAACTTAATTTAAATCAATTTTGACCAAACATGACCTTAAAGGAGGTACAGTGGTCAAAACCTATGTGACAGATGTTATGTGACAGACGTTACTAAGATGCTTACTTCAGCAATAGTACATTTTATGATTTAAAAGAGTCGCTAAACAATCCCTAAACCTCATTAAATGTTAAATCTCATACAAAAGACATGATACTTATCTGACTAACCAAAGTATTGTAGATAATATAAAACTTTACATAAAGTCACTGAAATTGCAGTGTTCGTGTGAGTTAACCAATGTCGGTGTCTGTAAAACCTTCTTGATTTGATGTTTGTGGTAAAACATTTCGTCTTCTCTAGAAGGCCACTTCCAGTATTTACCTGCTTTGACCATA